AGAGCAGCGTTGCTGTTCTGTAGCAAAGGGTCGTTTAGCTACAGAAGATGGAAGAGGAATTTTTCACCTGCAACAGGGTCACTCGTCTGACTTGCTTGTAAGAGCAGAGCAATGATACGGGATCAGCAAACTAATGTAGAACACAGCATGTGCTTGAGTTTTTGTCTTTTGAGTAAAGCTCAATCCGTGCTCAATGTATCGTAGGCGCAACTAGGTGTCATATATCGCAACCACAGCATGTGCAGGTAGCCTAACAACGTCGATAGAACCTAGAATTCATGACATATCCAAAATAAATTTCTGAGCCTTTGGCATCTGGAAATTGCCTATTGACATCTTTGTTTTCAGCTATGTCGTCGCGCACACATTGTGCTCGAAGCTTATACTCATTAAGGTAAAGCACTCATTATGCTTTTAAGTAAAGTCGGGCTGATATTAGCAAATTAAGTTGATTTATGAGCTCTTCCACCCACTAGCACCGCAGCTGTCGTCAAAGGTGCTTGATTGATATCCAAATCATTGATTGAATATCTCATGAGCTTACAGAGGTATGTACTTCGATATTTTACGCAAAACTTAATAAAGTAAGTTGACTCAATCAAGCAGCACGATTCTTCTATGCAATTCATCTAAAAGGTATCTTTATTGATAAATTTCACGCGCTTCCACCGACTATCCATTTGTGAATAGTCAACTATCAACGTATTCAATCTGGGATTGGCACCTTGAACGAAGTTAGCTGTTTCACGCAAATCTCATCAAGATGCAGTGACTTCCGGCTAGCCATATTGGCAAAAATTATTGTTGATGAACAGCGTGGCACTTTAATCGGCTACCGCATTGTTGATAGCCAGCTGGATGCACGTTTTCGCTCAGGCAGTCCACAAAGACCTTTTCTTCTCTACCACAATGTCGAAATCATCGGCCACGTTATCTGAATTATAGTAATAAAGTTTATTTTGGTCGGCCAACACTCTGCCGGAACCGAGCGGCTGTCCAAATGCACCAGGGTGCCACATCTCTTCATGCGAATAGATGAGCTTACCGCCTTTCATAAATTTATTATGCTCACCAAGCAGTAATTTTCACGGCTCCAGTTATTTTTAAGTATCATGTTGTCAAAATTGGGTCGCATAATAAGTTTGAAATTATTCGTGATCAGTAC